ACACACACACACACACACACACATATAATTAAACATAAAACATTAAACATAATTTTTTTAACAGTGTCATAATTAACAACAACAACAACACAAATAGTTGGGGGAAAAAAACACCCGAACCACCACCATTTTTCAATAAAATGCTATTTTGTTTTGCATTTTTTGTTTGTTTATTTTTAACAATGATTGCATTGTTTGTTTATTTATTTATTTGCTCTGGAGTGAGTTAGTTGGTTCCGCTTTCCTCGAATTAAGCCGCTGTGCTGTTGCCGTAGTTACCCACAGTTTAATGGGCCCTGCGCATTGATATAGAACGCCGGTTAAACGGTTGACTGGAACTACGTCTGTGCGTTCTAACGGTCACCTGACAGCCTGTCAGAAACTAATATTATTTCCGGCATCAGTCAGGTGTCACTTCAGTCCTTCAGGTATCAGGAAATCAAGATTGTTACCGGCGGTGAGCCTTACAAATCACACAAAAACACAGACAAACACAGACACACAATGCCCCCTTTTCCCCCCTCGTCGTACATTTCCTTGTTTTTCCCATCCGGTCCGTTGCGCTCGCGTGTTTACTCCCGTTAAATAAGATTATGGTAATGAAGGCGGCTGAAGTGGCATTTTAAATCAGGAGGGTTGTGACTGCGCCACCGTTTGCTTCATTAGACATTCCCACAGTTTCAGTGTTGCTGTAGACTCACAATAACACGCAGGCTTTTCCCTCTTAGGCTCAGTTTTTCCTCTCACAACTTAAACATCCTGATTAAAAATTAATTAATTAATTAAATTTAAAAAAAAAAAGCTGACACATACCAGGAATTAGCCTGAGCTCTGCAGGCATGAATACAGTTTAGACTTAGAGATATTGTACAAGTATGAAAATCTCAGGGTTTTGAAATTAAGCTGCATAATGTATGCAGAACTACAATTACTGCATTAAAACACTGAATTTTTGGTGCCTAAAAATTAAGTGTTAATTTTCTTAAATTTCATTAAAAAAAATAAAAAACTTTCAATTCCAAAATTCCAAACAAACCTTTTGTATCCGGTTAGCTTGAAAAGTGCATTTCTTCCCTCCATCCAGCAGTTTTCTGTAAAGTTACTCCACATTTAGTTTAAATATTTTAACAGCATCAAACACGTGATAAAAAGAAATTAGCAAAAGATCTAAATCTTTTATTTTTTTTTAAGTAGTATCTGAAACACTGCTGTTACACATGGTGACATTAGACTCGTGTTTTTCAGTTCACAGGCATAAATCTGTTTCTTTAACAGCCTCCAGTCTTCTGGTTTCAGGCTTTCAGGCTTCCACCAGATTTCAGAACCTGGCTGCAAGATTTTCTCCCTTTCAGTCACAAGAGCTTTGGTGACACTGATGCAGCGATAAGATCTCACTCAGTTCCAGTTCATCCCAAAAGGCTTTGTGCAGATCAATTAAATTCTTTCACACCAAACTGGGAAAAAAACATTTCTATATAAGCTTCCGATGTCACATTGAAACACTCAACTTTAGTTTCAAATGATTGAAAGCCAAACTGGGAGAGTAAAGAAGTACACAAAAGTATGCAAACAGTGGTGTTATTAACATTTCCTAACGTTTCCTTCCAACTTTGACTCTCGCCTCCTACACTCCTCACTGCCATCATCTCCATCTCTCTCTGTCCATCAGTCTGGGTGGCGGTAGGCCTGGTGCAGTGGTGAATACCAATAGTGAGGAGGAGCATATGTGAGCCATACTTAATCCTGCTAATCTGCCTCCAAAATAAAAAAAAAAGAAAAAAAGAAAAGGAACAAAAAAAAAAAGCAGAAAAGAGAGGAGGGTGGAAGAACATGAGAGAAGGTTTCTCTTTCTGTCTGGGGAGCTGACCGGCTGAGCCAAATGAACTGAAAGACATGAATAATGTCCTGGCTCTCCCCCTCGATCCCTTTCTCTGCGAGATCTTGGAACGAAATGAAGCAAAATTCTCGCTTTTGTTGAATTCTGTAGTGAGGAACGTGAGATGCCGCCTGCCACCAACCACTGCTGTTACTGTGTGTGAGCGCAACTTTGTCTCCCACTTAGTTTCACATGCAGCTCTCCAGCATTAGCGATTTACTGTACGTTTAACAGCAAAGTTCAGTGCCAGGAAAGAAGGTGGAGTGAAAATCTGAAGAAGTCTCAGAATACCAGTGTGTTAGGTTTGCA